GGTAAGTTAATTATGTCCGAAACTGTATACGCGGAACTCAAAAGCTTCCATGACATCCGTCCATGGTGATAATTGAATTGTGACTTGTTACCCGCTCGGAAACGAAGGGCGTTGAATGATCATGTCACTTTTACCTTTACCGTCTCTAGCCTTGATTACAAGTCTTGTTCATGACTTTTTTTTGTTTATGAATTCGTTACACACTATGAATGGTAATTCATAGTGTGTAACGGATTAAGAATACGGAATGTCACCACCCCTATTCATCCCGTGGGTGTCGTAAGAGCCGACTAAGGGAACAAACTGCACAGGACAACAGTACTGCAAAAAGAAGGAAATCTTGAAACAAACTTTATACCAACCCGTCTGGCTGTGCGTGGTACAGTGGGTCAAAACCTCCTATCTAAGGAGCGGCCCATGTCCAGCAGTGGACTGTTATAGGCTGTTGATTATGATGATGATTCATAGTGAAGCAGATTATTAATTAATACCACTAATAGTGTGTTAATAATTTGCAACATTATCATGTGTTGCCAAGCTTATCCTGTTCCTCTGCATATCCATGATTCACCTAAATTCAAATTAATCTGTTTATTCAATAGCGTTGATTTATACAGTTTTATTTTAAAGTATACTGATGTAATAAAACTAAAGACTTTTATATTAATTAGTAGCATTATTATTAATTGTTGGCGCACCACTACTGTGCGCTTCTCGAGACACTTTTTGCCCCGCACAACCAATCTGTGGAACGAGTTATCGTCTGCGGTATTCCCGGACCGATACGACCTTCAACCCTTCATGAAAAGAGCGTACTCCTTCCTAAAAGGCCGGCAACGCGTTTGTGACTCCTGAGTTGCAGACGTTCATGGACGGCGATAGTCGCTTTCCACCAGGTGACCCGTCTGCTCGTCTGTCCCCTCTAACAAAAAAAAAATACGTTATCGAACCAATGATCGATTTAAATATATATTTTTGGATTTTGATACGTCAATTCTTGGGAAATAATAATAATGATATATTTTTTGTGTTCAAAAGATACATACAGGGAAAACACACATGAGTTATTACAATCACAATTTGCACACTAAGTTTGTTGACCTCTGGTACCCAAAGTAAGATTTAACTTGTGGTACGTATACAACTACATAACTGGGTTTAAGGATAAAACTACAGTTAAGTTCAAAACACTAGTCCAATTTCGTAGTCGTGTTTATTTATTGTACCAGAAACTCCATTGCTTGTATTTGCCCAGCAAATTGAAATGTTTGAATTTTTGTTACTTGACAATACGCAACAGCGGCATTTGAGTCAAAGCTAAAATTGCAAAAATGTTTTCCTCTGGTTTGTTTTTTTTTTTAAAGTGGATACATTTGCTTTTAAAAGCTCAGAATTTTGATATATTTAGTTTGACATTTCATTCGATACTACAGCAAAAAGATTTATGATTAGAACGTACTAAATTTGATTTAATACTTAAATTGTGGAACCAAAAACTTCTCTAGTCCGAAAGTTGGTACGACGACCTGGTGCGGACATCACAAGATCCGATGTTGTGGCGAACCTTAGGGGAGGCCTTTGTTCAGCAATGGACGTCTTTCGGCTGGTGATGGTGATGATGATGTGACAGTGTCCTTTTATGGATGTTGTAGTCTATTCCATTTTCCAAGAATATATATTCTTATGCAAACATCATCATCATCATCATCATCATCATCAACAGCCTTTACTAGTCCACTGCTGGAAAAAGGCCTCTCCTTAGAAAGGAGGTTTTGACCTACTATACCACGCTGGCCAGACGGTTTAGTATAGGGTTTGTTTCAAGTTTTCCTTCTCTGCAGTGTTGTTGTCCTGCGTAGTTTGCTTCCTTAGTCGCCTCTTACGACACCCACGGGATGAATAGGGGTGGTGACACTCTGTATTCTTAATCCGTCACCACACGGACTTATGCAAACATAATGTTTCAATCGATTGCCTCTTTGTAATTTTGCATTTTCGAATTGTTTGCCTTCATTATAATATTACGGGAATGGCAAACGACAATGACTTGCAATTTATAAATTAACATAATCCCAAGAAAAATACCATCTCAAAAGAAATTGAATCTTGTGTAAATAGCATGCTTGGTTTGCAAACAAAATCGTATTGAAAAAGTAAAATAGTATAGAACCAGAAGATATTGTAAACAGAGTTCACAGCGACACGGCACTGTTCAAACATTGCATTGAATCAGAAAACAATTATTTTAGGAAAACATGACAAGAGCCCTTATATTGTTTAGTTGTAGGGACACCATCTTTTGAGATACAAAGAGACAGAGAGAGAAAGAGAGAGAGAATCATCATCATCATCATCAACAGCCTTTAATAGTCCACTGCTGGACATAAGCCTCTCCTTAGAAAGGAGGTTTTGACCTACTATACCACGCTGGCCAGACGGGTTGTATAGGGTTTGTGTCAAGTTTTCCTTCTCTCTGCAGTGCTGTTGTTCTGCGTAGTTTTCTCCCTTAGTCGTCTCTTTCGACACCCACGGGATGAATAGGGGTGGTGACACTCTGTATTCTTAATCCGTCACCACACGGACGAGAGAGATAGCAGAGAGAGAGAGAAATAGCAATAATTAATTTTATGCGATGAGCAAAAGATGCCTAGCAACGCGAGGTTGCAAATTAACAGACCAGTTGTGTCTGACAATAGCCATACAAATTAAATAACTGACAAAGAGTTAGATGTGAACTAGAAAAGCAAAGAAATAAAAAACTTTGTATAATACAATTGTATGAAGGTCACAATGTAATAAAGATATTTTTTTCAGCCTAACAAAGATAACTCATTCTCGTAGAACTAAGAACGGTATCTTAGTACTTAAAGATATTTGAGTACAAAAATGAACTATGAAGGATCATCGAGAATCGTGAAGTGTATTAAATGTTTCACAGCCATTCTGCGTTATTAGTTTCTCTCTCAATTTTTTTAAGCCCCCGACGCATAAGCGACGGTGTGTTATAAGTTTGACGTGTCTGTATGTCTTTTTTTGGCATCGTAGCTTTCGAACGGATGAACCGATTTCGTTTTTTTTTTTTGAAATGTGTATTAGTTGGGAGTTTTTTTAGCTATGTTTGATGGAAATCGGACCAAGATGACCACAAAATGGCGGATCATATATTTTTTTACAACTCCCTCGACATTGGTATCAAATGAAAGAGCTTGACTAGCAGAATACTATACACAAATAAGAATACTATGACAAATTTCAAAAACAAGATGTGTGTCGGGGGTTTTTTAAATTTTTTTTCTTTTTTTTTTCGTTTGTTTTTTATAGTCTGCCTTTGTTTTTTATTTCATTGCAATAACTAACTGCTGTCCTGTGAATGTCAGAATAAATGTTTTCCTTTCTTTCTTACATATAGTATTTCTTGGCAGGTAAAAGCCTCGATTAATGGATTTTTCATATTATTATACTAATCATGGTTATTTTTCAATAATGTCCTAAGTTTTGAATATCGAGTATGGTCACACTATAATATAGTAGGAAGTTTTTGATTTGTTAAAACTTCAACGACCGTAGATTTTTATATTAAGTGGACCAAAGGTTTGTTCTGTTTTCATTAATTTATTTACAATGCTTACAATTGGAGTAGGAAAGTTAATAATATAAATACTTACCGCCCTTCTGGAAAATATTTTGATGACAATAGGAATTAGAAAATAATTTATTTATTGCAAATGGTTGGTTGCAAATTATTTGATATATGTCCCTTGGCTGTAAGTTGACCTTAAATTGTAAAATAAAATAACTAACCTAAAACATACGAGCACGGTATTGTGTCCTTTTTAGTGTTAGTGACTTCAATTCATCATCATCATCATCAGCCTATCGCAGTCCAGTGATGGACATAGGCCTCTCTCATTGCATATCACTTAGATCGATTTTGGGCTTCTCTGGGGTGGTTATGACGGACTCGAAGCGACTAAAAACCGCACGCCGCCTCGAATACCAATAGCCAGGTTACCAGGTGTACCCTAAGAAATCCCTGGCACCTCGATAGACCCCGGCCTCTTTTCCTCTACTTGTTTGCAATTTTTTGAGATTTGAAAAAAACATGGGACACTGTTACCGTTACCGACACCTCTATATATAATTATACAAGTTTCAATTCTGACGACACTCCCGAATTCCCACTGTTTTTTTTGAAGTGAAAATTTTTGAACAACAAACAAAATAATGTATTTTTTGAGACTGAAAAAAAAAACCATTGAACTGTTACCGTTACCGACACCGACATGTGTTTTGTTTGTTGTTTAAAAATGACCAACGCGCCCAAACGAGTTTCACTTCAGAAAGTTTATTAGAGTAAAACGTACCTACGTATACAAAAAGTAGTAGTACTTTAGAAATGAAATCAACTGTGTGTAACGAATATTGCTTTTACAAAAGCATAGTACACCTACCTATAAATCACAGCGGGTTCGATTCACAGGTTGGTGTGCTATCTTAAATTTTTTGAAGTATTATTGCATGGTATGAAAATAATTTTATTTATGTTGATACTTGACTATGTGATAGAAAAAAAAAATTACCCCGGTAATAATAAGGTTTTATCAACATCAAACAAATATTTTTAATTTCATATACACATGAAATATATCCATATTTCATGTGTATATGAAAATTAACAAAAAAAAAAACAAATACGTTGCCGCTGTGAACCGAAGTAAAACTTTCAAAAGCTTTCTAAAAAAACATACATAATTCAATCAAAATGTTTCTATTCACCAATAAAAATAACAAAACAAAAAAAAAATGCAATTTACAGATTATAAAATATACATACATCATAACAAAAACTTTTTCAAATAAAACTGATATACCACCTCTATACACCCCAACAAGATTACAAACTAGGCAGAGATAGCGCGGACTGGCACCGAACACCACACTGACGTTTAAATTTCGAACGGCATCAGTGTGGTCGTGACTGCCAATCGTATCCAACCAAAATGGCAGCTAGAACAGGTGACAGGTCGAAATGGAGACGAAGAAAATGCTCAAAAAGTCCTTCAGAAGAAGACAATGATTGTGCAAGCCTCGCGTGGCTGTTGAACTTCAGATTAGATGATTTCGTGAATATTAAAGTGCCTGACGACGAGCCTGCAGTGAAAGAGCCGAAAGTAGAAATTCCTGATACACCACCAGCACCGAAGAAGCCGCCTTATACTTATCCTGAGTTGATTGAGAGAGCGCTGAGAGAAAATGGGGAGTTGACAGTGTCTGCAATTTATCAATGGATTTCGTGAGTTCATTAATAAATTATATAATTATTGGTACAGTATAATGTCAGTTAAACCTTGTCACATTTTTTATTTGCAAAACATATTGGTGGGTATAAAACTAGATGGCCATGGCTTTACTTCAAGTAAAAAATATTTTGTAATATACATATGTTAAATATAATCCAATTCTCAGGTATTAAGTAACTTTATCAATAGAAGTTTGATAATTTGGCCTGTAATTTTTAATATTAAACTACAAAGACGTCTTACTATGGCTACGAAGCAAGACGGGGTATAGACGTAGCCATAGTACACTATAAACTTAATCAGATTAAAAAGGAGGTCGTTTTCTTTGATTACAAAAACCACACATGTTACCAAATACTTTCTTTTATTCTGTTTTGATGCTCTTATCGAGTTCAACATTCACTCACTTCAAAATAAGTTTAAGAAATAAAGAAAACAAATCTAAATAATTGACTTTAACGACTTTAACTTAGTATCACATCATCAGCCTTTAATAGTCCACTACTGGACATAGGCCTCTCTTTAGAAAGGAGGTTTTGGCCTACTATAATTAGTATAATTATATTTGTACTTAGTATAATGATATTAATTTAGTAACATGGTAAATAGTAAGTATATTTGTACATAGAAGGTCGAATTTCAGCAAGTATTCTTATTTGAAGAGTTCATTGAAATAAAATTAAATGAAGACATAAGTGGATGACTTCAGTAAAATAATCCTAAAAATAGTCTTGAGACTTTTTTCTTTAAGACTTTTTATGGTCTGAAGTTATTTGTATCGACATATCACCTTCATATACGCAAAAAATAACAAAATCTGAAAATGCGACATATCACCTTCATCCACTTGTCTTCAAACCTAGATTAGAAGAGAATTTTATAAAATGTATTTTTTTTGTTTTTATGGTATAAGGTGCAAACGAGCAGACGGGTCACCTGATGGTAAGTAACTACCGCCACCCATTTACACCTGCAACTCAGAAACCACAAGTCCGTTGCCTTGGAGTCCCTCTCGCTCGAGTCAGCGGGAGGCGGGATTTGGGCTCCGGTAACCTCATTTATTCGGTGAAAGGCAACGAAAGAAATACTTAACACCGGTTTTATTAATAAAAATAGAAACATATTATCATAAAATGTATTAAGTAGTTCTAACTTTTTATGAACATAATCCAAATTATTTACTTTTATATAGGCCTTTTTTTCTATATTTCCTTAGGTACAGCAATAGTTGAATAAACGAGTCACAACGGTACTATATATATTGTACATGGATCGACATTTGAACCTCACTTACTATTTAAAATAATAAGGAATATCAAAGACACTTTTGTACCAATTCTATTTATTATCAAAAGTAACAAAGCCCCAATACCTAATTACGCTAACAATAGAAATAGTTCCGATGTTACTTTGTTATTTTCGGAAGGGAGGTACCTATTTCATTTGTCTGTATTATAAACCGTTTCTAAGTATTATTGTCTAGCTATTGTATCACAAGAAGCTTTGTTGGGGGATTACTTAGAATAATTGTGACCTCAATTTGTATATTATAACTATTATTAGTCAATACAATACAGTACTACAACTGTACTTTATGCGTTGAAAGGTCTTAACTGCAGACAAATGAGCAGATGTGTCACCTGATGGTGTGACTACCCATGGAGTCTTCCCCCGCATAAATAGAGCGAAGAGGGGTCTGGGGGATTGAGGAATCCGTTGGCCTCAGTAACTCGCTGAAAAAAATGAAAGAATAGTTTCGGAGTCCATTCGAGCTGTCCCGGCCGGTGCCATAGCATGGTTCCCAAATTCTAGAATGTTCAACCGTTTATGAATATTAACGTGAGCGAAAAAAAAGGACAATCAGGCATATATCTCGTGTTGCAGGGGAATTTACAAACACACATGAAACGGACACAAAAACCACCCAGACTCAGAACAACAATTTATGAATCACACAAAGTGTCGTTCGATGTGAGGATCGGACCCACACTCAGCGTAGTAGTAAGCGGCGTAGCGACCGCTTATACCACTACGCCATCCGCGCAGTCAAATATAATGTCTTGTATAGAATGGTATAAATTTAATAAAATCTTAATTAACTTGTCCAAACAAAAAGTTATTACGATAACAATTAAAAAACGGCATTAAAAATACTATTACATACATAGTAGTAGTTAAACGAGTATATTCATCTTTTAAAACCCTTGATACGTGGTGTATCAAGGTTTTAAAAGATGTATTGTACTATTAATATATAATACATTATCCTCATCATCAACAGCCTTTAGTAGTCCACTGGTAGACACAGGGCAGATATCAGATATCTCCTCCGCTATCTCTTCTTGTTGTCCTGCAAAGTTTGCGCCTTTAATCGGCTCTTAGGACACCCACGGGATGAATAGGGGTGGTCACACTACGTATTCTTAATCCGTCACTACACGGAACATACATATAAAAATATAATACTTCGTGCATAATCCACCATTTTTTTTTACATCAATACCTGTAACCACACCAAAGATATACAACGTAGTAATTTTTAATTAAATCATTTTGAAGTCATCGTGCCTTGTTTGGGGACAAAGATTAAAACAAAACAATAAATTTAATGACTGTACTTTAAAGATGAGTATTTTTGAAGCTTTTTAAGGATAAATATAATTATTTACAATTCAAAAAAACAACGGAAGGGTTGTTGTGACGGCTACTGTTATTTATTTTATTTTATAGCTGTCTTGTCTTTACACGAATATTTACTGTAATTCCCCCTTTTCTCCGAAACTACTAGGCTAAAATCTCAGAAAAAATCTTAAAATCACATCATAAATCTCTTAATAGTTTGCCTACAAACTTAAACATACTATGGAATCCTTTCCATGCCAGTTCAACTCTCACTTGGCGGAGTTTTTATTTCTGTCGAATATAGGGTACACTTGCTTCAACAAGATATATCTAAAACATTTACTTTACCTATCCATATACAGATTTACAAGTATTAAATATTTATACCTAAATTTTTGCCTCGCAAATCGCCTCGCGATTCACATACATTGTGCAAAATTAGCTACAAAGGTTTAGCGTCACCACTTAAATTAATTACAAAACTCCCCGCTGGTCTCTCAATCATCTGATGTAGGTCTGTACTTTACACTTTTAATTAAAACATGGTTAAACATTAAAAATAGACAGCGGAATTTCCCAGCAGACCGGTGGGTCAGTGGCTAATTCCAGAATAATTACGAACCCACATATCAAATTGATTCTGGAAATCAATCTTTAATACACTACAATATTTTCCTGGAAATGATATATTTCACAGACTGTGTATCTCCTTTATGAAAGATCTCTTCCAGATCATGTATATTTCGCAGTAATGCCTCCTTCGCAAAATGTTGCAATAGTAACTTGAAATAAAATATTATCATGCAGGGAGCTTTATGCACTGTAACACACAATTTTTCTTTTTCACTATCGGGCTTACATTACGTCAATTTACACTAATCAGAGATGATTTACACTGCATTTTTGATACATAACCGACATAGTAACAACTTACCTTCTTATCTTCAACGGGGTAGCCATGAGACCAAGTAGAAAACCGATAAACGCGCAGGCATTTCATAGTGGAAAACTGGTTTTCTAAATAGACGTTGAACGGTCACAAAAGCACAAAGCACGACAAGTACGTGACGTCATTGCCAAATCGTATAGTCAAGTGTACACACATTATCATTATTCCCTATATTGCTCTTGGATCGTTTTTGTTTTTGCTATATATATAGGTGTGCTACCGTCCGATTGGTGACGGTAATGGAATACTGAGTGTACACCACCCCTATTCATCCCGTGGGTGTCGTAAGATTCGACTAAGGGAGTAAACTACGCAGGACAACAGCACTGCAAAGAGGAGGAAAACTTGAAACAAACTCTATACCAACCCGTCTGGCCAGCGTGGTATAGTAGGCTAAAACCTAAGCCTATGACCAGCAGTGGACTATTAAGACAGGACAAGCGAACAAACGTAGATGGGTCACATGATACTTCCACCGCCAATGGTAACATGCAACCAAGTCACAAATACGTTACTGCCTTTGAATTAGATTAGAAAAAGTGTGTTAGGGCTAAAGGTTAGTGATTTAACATTTAAACTACACTTTAGTCAGGTAGACTATTGCTGATCTTAAAAAGTCTTGTCAGAAGAAAGACGAAGAAAAGACGCTCAAATAATTGAACGTAACCTAAAATGGAACTGTAATATAAAATACCCGTATGACAATCTATCACCCTACTGCTTATTTGAATACACCTGCTATCGTACAATTAAGTATGGCAATAAAGGGGACGTGTTTTGTTTGCGTTCTACATCTTTGTAATACATCATAATTATTTTGACTATAGAAGGTAAAACTGTAATATTATACATACTTAGATATATGTCTAACTTACTGTTATAATAATAAATTGGCACGTGTCACACAACGGGCCTTATGGACCCGGGATAGGGCCTGGCGTGGCGCGGCGTCCATGATCCGAGTCCTCCTTAGAGTAGGGCTGTCGGGATAGGGGGATGGCCCTATGAACTGGGCAGAGCCCACACTATGGTAACCAGACTGCTGATAAACATGCTTATATAATTATCTCTCTCCTAATCTTCTCCTCTACATATTTCCATGGTATGGTGTGGTCAATTCATGCTTCCCTGTTCAAGCTGTTAATCTTCAGAACTCTTCAGAACCGCTTCGAAATCATGATGTTCAACAACCGATCCACTGCTCAGTTAAGCTTTAAGAACGAGAAGTCTATAGACACTTGTTGACGGAGTCATCAGTATAATATTTTAAGTGCCTTTATTATTTATATATTATAACATTATTAATATATATTTATACTATAACATGTATAAACTATATGTAAGTATACCTAGTGTATTTCTGGAGGATTTCTTCTTTTGTAACACACTTTGAGTCCCATGTCTCACATCATTACATCAACAGCCTATAACAGTCCACTGCTGGACATAGGCCTCTCCTTAGAAAGGAGGTTTTGGCCTACTATACCATGCTGGCCACACGGGTTGATACAGGGTTTGTTTCCTTCTCTTTGCAGTGCTGTTGTCCTGCGTAATTTGCTCCCTTAGTCGGCTCTTACGACACCCACAGGATGAATAGAGGTGGTGACATTCCGTATTCTTAATCCGTCACCACACGGACCCATGTCTCACTTGTTCCAAATATAAATCTGCCACGCACAGCTTTGCAAACACCTAAGGTTTGACTGGAAGTAAATTCTTGTGACATTAAGTCCGCCTTATGCAATATATTTTCGGGAAGTTACTAGAAGTAAATATTTTTTAAATACATTCGTATTTTAGAGAAATACTACAAAGAACACCTAGACATAGAATAAGTATTTGTGATTATTTGTCCTGGGTGGGGATTGAGCCCACATCCTCTGGCTCAAAGTCAGTCCCACTAAACACTAGAGCAACGGGCCAGTCAAAATAATAAGAAAAAATATCTATCACGTGTCGATTTCTATACAAAATTCCATCATTGGTCTGACCCATACTCTTTATTGGACTCTGGCCACAAAATCATCAGTGGCAAACAAACAACGCCGCATGCTACTGACGATGTCTAATCAAACAGTTTGTCCCCACAAAGTCCCCTGTTTAACCCTAAACGGCGTATTGTAAACACTAACGCGATAATAAATTAATAATGTTGCCGTTCGGTACCCCTCGGTCACGCTGTGATAACCATCTCAACTCTCCCGTGTCGACAGAAGTATACTGATAGTGTAATTGTTACTGATTATACTAAACTTTATGGCTGAGTATGTTATATAGATTGCTGTTTTATATTGTGATTTTTAATTTTCTTGATGTTTCCTGACAAATGTTTGTTTTATTTGCTCATAAACAATATATACCCTAATGTAAGAGTGTTCACAAATGCCTACAATAATTACTTCTTATAATTTAACGTTTTAGCCCTATACACCGCAATTAGGAATTTTGGTAATTAATTACAACGTCATTATTTCTTCCGTGTACATGGTGTACATCTCTTTCTTATTCCTGATAAAATAAAATATTTCTTAAATTTACCATGTTGGTTTGTATTCTTTTATTAAAAATATTCATAGGCAACAACTCAACAATTAAAAAGCAAATATGTTAGATATAAAGACGAATTTAATACTTCATATCTTGTATACTATTGTATCAAAGCCTCGCACAATCCTAAATAAAAGTAAGCAGGTTACATATAAACAGATAATTCAACAATGCATCGGCCTCGGTTCAGAGTAATCGATCACGGTGCCATTCGGCGATGGGACGCTCGCCCTAGCTCCACGGACCGGGTCGCGTGTGCCCCAATGTCACAAGCGATCTTTATGGGGTTAACTGTTATACAGGTGGTAGAATGAAATGTTTTGTATTAAATTGGGGATGTTTGTTTTCTTTCTTTTACACACTAATTAACGTAACTATCAGATTAGAAAATATTATTTATTAAATGTTTAGTGAATAGTTACCGCAAATGACTTTCCCGGGCTACGATACTGATTATTTTGCAGTTGCGTACATTCGTCATTTTAATATAGTTGTAACATAAATTTTGTCAGTTTTAATAATGCCCAGCTGGTTTCACCCGCGAGTATTTATTTGTATTTCTTTCGAAGAACCTTATTTAAAAACAAGTTATCGTCTGCGGTATTTCCGGTCCGATATGACCTTCAAACCTTCAAGAAAAGAGCGAGTTCTTGGGCGACGGTAGTCGCTTTCCATCAGGTGACCCGTCTAGTCTTGTCCCCTCTTCCACAAAAAAGAAAGCAAATTAAATTACTCTTTACAATAATAACATTAGCTTTCTGGTAGTTAAAGTCCCTGAAAATTGATTCATTTGTTCTTTTGGTTAGCCGGAACAAAGAGACAAACAAAAAATAAAATGTAAAATGTGTTACGTATGTAAGTGCCATGTAAACGTTTGGCTTAAACCACCAGTAAAATGTTATTGAAATTAAATCAAATCACTTTAGCAAAATATTCTATTTTTAGCAATTTTATTACTAAGTTATCAAATGCAGCATTACAAAGTAGTAAAAATCTTTCCCAATCATCCCGTGAGTGTCGTAAAAGCCGACTAAGGGAGCAAACTATGCAGGACAACAATACTGCAAAGGGAAGGAAAACTTGACACAAACCCTATACCAACCCGTCTGGCCAGCGTGGTATAGTAGGCCAAAACCTGCTTTCTAATGATGATGATGAAAAATCTTTTAAACTTTTGTATTTTTTTACTAAATTTATTACAAATACATTATTTACCTGAAAAATGCGAGAAGCCCAAAATCGATCTAAGTGGCGTGCAACGGGAGAGGCCTATGTCCAGCAGTGGACTGCGATAGGCTGATGATCATGATGATGATAACTATTTACCTGTATACCATACCTCTTGTTTACCGATGTACACCGATCTTGCAATGCAAATGATAACGAAATCTCATATTTAAGAGTTACTTAAACTTACATCAACTATCTTTATTTCAGAGACCGCTTTCCTTTCTACAAAGCGAATGATGAGCGCTGGAAGAACTCAGTACGACACAACTTGTCGATCAATCCACATTTTCGCAAAGGTGCACGCGCTCCCCAAGGCGCCGGCCATCTTTGGTCTCTGGCTGCAAATGCAATCGATCTCCTGCCGTTGAGGGACCGCATCAGTTTCGACGATAAGAAATCAACAACAGAAGTTGAGAAAGCTAGAGTTATTGGCTTCCCTAAAGTAAGTATTTGCATAAATCTAAACGAATATTTAGATTCTTTGAATAGTTCATTTATTATTTGCCTTTGTTTACTCTCCAACCACAGGCCGGGTTTATCCATACGGGTATGTGTTCTCTGCCTCTTCAACTGCTGCTTTATCAGACTGGTGGTGCTGGTTTGGTAGTGGTTCTCTTTAGTTTGGGATCAGACATTCGAGTTGTAAACTTTAATCGAGGACTTCAAACGTTTTGTATATAGATATGCAGACGCATTAGTAGTTTTTTATTACATGTGCCTATAAATACTACCCTATCTTTAAGGAAAAAATTGTATGACCATGGAAAATTTCAACAAATTGGTTTTTAAAGGTGCTTTCTTGGATAAATTTCAGGTGATTGTGCTTGACGAAGCAGCTATTGCAGCTGCCAGCATTATTCCAGATCAAGACTTATTTACTGGTAGTACAAGTAAGTATTATTGTACTTTTAATAAATTAAATCTTCGTCGCCATCTTTAATTAAAGTTACGTCTGATCATTGCATTATCTATCTACTTCTTATATTTAAAAATGTTTAGTTGGTTTGTGTACGCTTCAAAAACTCGAGTTTTGCACCGATCGAGCTCAAATTTTAACACGAAACACAAACCGCTCCAAAGATTGATTTTATCTAGATTTCATGTTAGTTATGTTGCTCATTCCTCATCAATGCAACTAAATTATTATTTTTTACTTGTGGAAACCCACCCCCTCGGGCCGTCACCCCACCGGCGTTTGCGGCGGGGTGGTTTGTCGGAATCGGGCCGACTAAAACCACACGGTGTGCCACTCTACGCCTGTAATAGGAGGGATCCGGGAACTGCTGTTATTAAGACATCCGGACCAATCCAACTAAACCTAGACGAGCTAAACCCTGCCATAGCAAGGCATGGCAGGGTTTATCTGGTCTTTGATAAATTTGTTAACATTTGTGTATATTTATAGTTTAAAAGCGTAATACTGCGGCAAAAGGCTAAACAGCATTGGACATAACATTTTTACTTTGAACAGTTAGTTATTTTGGGATTGTTATGCTTCTATTGTTTAACTACGCCTTTGTAACACAGTATTACAAATAGGGGTGTAGTTTAGAAGAAGAAAAAAGAAGAAGTTCATATTATACATACAAAATAAAATAAAAAGCTTGTTATTTTCCAGTGTTCCTAAATCCAGTCTCGACGGAGCAAGTTGTAAGGGAATGCGGACTTATCACCGTGGATTAGAGACCAGAATCGTTTGTGTCAATTTAGTATTACTATACCCGATATTTTGTTGATGTTTACCAATAGCTTTTAACTGTTATAATATATAAACCTGGCATCCATTTTCAGTCCAATATAACTTCAACTTTCGTTGTGTACACTTATCAGGTATACCTGTCGGGTTGACGGGTCACCTGATATAGTAAGTTACTATACCTCCATACCACCGCCCATCGACGTCTTCAACTCAGGGAAACAAGTGCGTTGCCGAACTTTCAGTACCTCCCAAAATTAGAGGGAGAGAGGGGGGTAATAGAATAGAATAATTGATAGTGTACATCAGTTCAGTATATTATATATACAATAGTATATAAAGTTATTGACCATGTCCAAATGGTGGCCTTAAAGCAATTTTGCAAACAGGATGAACAAATAAACTGTAAATAGGTAATTTCATGGTAACGGAGTATGGGTTTACCTCATTATCTCCGTGCAAATTAACTAAAGAATTACTTAACACCAGTTTTCTGTGAGCCAGTGATATTACTATATATAGTTGGCCCATGTGTGCGGTAGAACAGCTTCCAAGGAATAATATAGGTAATGCGTATATGTTATGTCCGTACTTATGCCAGATGCTAGTCGCTTAAAAGAAAGTTGTATGTAGCGCTTTTCTTATTTATAGCACTTCTGTACTTGATAAGTTCTCATAAACGGGATATTTACTATGTTTATTTTAGGGAATTAATAATAATAATAATTTCACACATCTCACACACGGTAATCAAATCTCAAACTGGGCAGAGCATGCACTATCGTAATCATACTGCGGATATACATATTTATTTATTTCTAAATACACACATGTTATAGAAAAATAACACCCAGACACAACACAACACTCTGAAATGATCGTGCTCATCACACAATATTTGTCCTAGGTGGGAAGCAAACCGGCGACCTCAATCTTAGCAGTGAGGGTCTTTAACCACAAGACCAACAGGCCATTCAAATTAATTTATTGATCGATTAGTAGTTGCCGACATTTCGGCACTGTTGATGGAATTCATCCGCGATCCGTGATCTTATAAAGTGAGAATAACCACGGTAGTTTAAATAAATATTTCTGTACTTGTTTAATAATAATACGCTAATTGTAGGAGGCTTATAATATTATAAAATAACCAAAGTAAACATCAACAAAATGGTTCGAGTTTGTTAAATATAATTATTATCCTTAGTAATAATATACAATGAAATAAAAACTAGATTATTTCTGCGATCTCATACAGATAGTGAGTGTTGTAAGGCGATGTATTTGATAGTGATTGATTTTAATAAATAATTTTAAAATCCATTTTTGCTTGTTTTGTTTTTGTAGAACTACAAACTTAGACGTTTGTGTATATTATACATTTTGTTTAGCCAACTCCCAAATTTAGGAATCACAGCACAGCACTTTTGTGGTATTCCTAGAAGTTTCGTTTATTGATATAATTTTATACTTGGGTGACTTTGTTTACTCTTTAAAAGAACTTTGCATATATTTAGGCTTCTAATAGATTATGTATAAAACATACATATTTTTTATTAATTTAATATTAGGGATTGAAAAAACATTTGCTTAAAATACTTCTTACTCAACAGAAATTACTGTAGCGGAACCGTGTGTCCTTTGCACCCGTCTTTCATATTCGCTCTTAGTCTGGTCGTGAGCACCTGCATACATATATTGTAAACATAATTTTAACACTTTTTTCTATCCTTTCAATAAATAATTCTTTTTTTTTTTTGTTTGTAATATACACTCCTGTCATTTTTTTTTTTTATGTATTACTATTTTATTATTACTTTATATATTATTTACTTGGAATTTATATTCATTGTGATGCGAGTTGTGTGCGTTTAGTTTCTAACTGTTGGGGCAAATGTCAGGCGCCAGCTGAAACCCAGTGTTGTGCTTTCGCGCAACGTATACTGAGCTGGTAGCCCTTGTGCCATATGTTTTATAAAATAATTTTGTGTTTTAGTAATGTGCCTTGTACCCGTGTATTTTTAATGTTTCTTGTGTAGCAAAAATAAATGGTTTAAATGGTATATATAAGGTGTACTAGTACTAGGAATACTGATATACGAGTAGTGTATTTAGACCATGATTCTGAGTCGAAAACCATTGGAATTATCTACCGGAAAATTCATCAAGGTTTTTTTTATTTTCCATTTTTTGTTTTGGTTGAAAAGGATATCACAAGGAGTATATAGAACATTTAACCGAAAACAAATCAATAATACCGTATAGGTCAAAAACTGCAATGTAATTAATCATACAGCCGAAGCGCGCGGGGCCTCCCCTTCGGCCGCTAATTTGTGTTGGTGTGCGTAGACTGTTTGCACGGAATACACATGTAGTTATTACTTTTGTGCGATACCTACGGAGAATGACCTTTACCTTTTACAACTGATTGCATAAAAAGTTTAATTTTCCGGCAGAAAATGCTAATGAATAGCAACAAGCATTTTATCACTAAATGCAGAGAAACATCTCTACATTTAGTAATTAATAAAATTTAATCTAAATTTACAAAATTAAATTGGTTATACTAACACACACACACACACTTAAACACTTATCTTGAATTGTCATTTATCATTCGATTTTTTTCCAAGGTAGGTTAGGGTTGCTACTTAGCTGTTTTCAGACGATACATAAATACCCTTTTGTGCCTACTTAACAGTAAATCTAGTAATTATTTTAGTATCATATCTACCTACATAATAATTAATACTAGATTTACTGTCAAATAGGCAAAATGGTCTTCATGCCTTGCCAAATGGTCTTTATGCAGCATTTGAAATAGCTTTGCTTGGCAACAACACATGAGTTAGTGGTAACCATAACCTACGTAAAAAAAAAAAATGAAATGATAAATCACAGCACGAGTTCGACTGCACGGATGGCGTAGTGGTTTAAGCGGTCGCCACGCCGCTTCCCAATGCGCCGAGTGTTGTGGGTTCAAACCCCACATGGGACGATACTTTGTGTGATCCACAAATTGTTGTTCTGAGTCTGGGTTTTTTTTTGTGTCCGTTTCATGTATGTTTGTAAAGTCCGACACAGGATATATTCCTAATGCGGGAGTTGTCTTTAAAAAAAAATTAAAAAAACAGCACTATGATTTTATCCCATGTCTAGTATCTAGTAATGGTTCAGAAGGCCAATTCTCGTAATAACAATTCGATCAAAATTCAGTTTCGAACAAATCTTGATATTAACTGTCTTAAAAGGTACAGTGAAATTAGTCTCGAGAAATTTTTGCATATGTAGTGGTGTGTATATTACTCAGATCTTAGAGCGCGTTTCCACTATATCGTTCTGGCCTATACAAAAATGTTTCGATATCCTAACATTACTATTTAATTTTATACTTATCCCTAGCAACACTCTGATTTTTGTTTTCAATAAAAACAAGTTTTTATTTTAAAGAAAAAGGTTTTGACTTTATAAAAAAAAAAAGGTGTGTGTGCGATTCACACACGATAGAAGTGAAACTTCAAAGAGGACAGACCGATATTTAAATTTTTTTTTTCTTTTTTTTTCCTTTCATCTAGGTTTTTAAAACTCCTTGGAGTCTACGGGGGGGTCAAAATTTTTGTAATTTTTTTCTAGGACGCACCGTTTCCGAGATATTTCAATCTAAAGCAAAAAATCGTCACTTGATAGTGGAAAGTGGAAACACGCACAACCATACACTACTACAAACGCAAAAATTTCTCCAAGCTAATTTACCTGTACATATTTTCGTAGTAAAGTGTTCAGAGTCGTGGATAATACAGTCAACGTTGGAATTGATTGTATTATCCACGACTCTGATGAGTCGAGTAGACGCCCCCATCGACTGATCGTCTGGTAGTCAAACTTTGACAGTTAGAAACGTCTTGTTTAATTTCATTCACTGGTTAATTTGTACTGTAATTATATAGACTTAGTGTTCTTTTTGAGTTGGTTTATTTTTCTAACACAGTAAATTTACGGCAAAATAAACAATCCAGAAATTTCCAAAAAGTCGAATTTAAAGTTATCATGAGTTTTGTTATTATTAATCTATCTATTTTTTTTTTAAGATATGAAAACCTATTTTTTTAGAATATTTTATGGTTTGGGTAAAATAGGTTTATGTATCGGAGCAGCAAACACATGTAATTACTCCACTACGACAAATGCGCGTAATTAGCAAAATTATGCAGGTATTGGACAGTTTATTTTATTTTTTCTAAAAAAAAACTATTTTATCGATTGGTTTAACGCACCATATTGAAACAGCAAAAAGTCTACTTTTTAAAATAATAATAATAATTTTGTAGTATAAATCCTGAAATTTGTGCTAAGATATATCCAAAGTTTTTTTAATTTACTACTAAATAATATATTAATTTGAAGAGTGGCTCCTCAATCCAAACGGACACATAGAAGATACCTCCAAAGAATTCATATTCTTAGAATTACATCATTCTAGGGCATCGCACGCTATATTACGTTGCCATTGTTATAAATGCCTAATACAATTTAGATGTTACACAGGCATATATGAATATTACATTCTTGGACCGACCAACGAGCCGTCAGAGAAATGTAGTGGTTTTATTATAATGGTACACCACGCTTATATGGTGCGTTAATCTAAGACGCACTGTAGTCGTGACAGAAGTCCATGTTTGTATAAGTTTGTTGTTGAGAGATTGTTGAAAGAACACTATCTTGATTATCATCATTTTCATAGTTTTGTCCCAAATTTATTTGGGGTCGGTTTAATGTGTTTTTTTCTTCCATTCTTCTGGATCACTCCTCTTTTACACTCTTTTATTGCAAAATGGTTTTTGCTTTTCGTATGATGACCAGACATATTCAAAAGATCAGAGAATGAATATCATAGCAGTAAATAGAAAAAAAAACGAGTGATTCTTTTATTAGCCGGCCAATTTTAGCACCGCGCACGCTTATTGGTCAAATCTAATAGCATGTA